TAATAATAAAAGAACTCTTCTCACACGTCATGGGACGGGCCAGCTCCGCTTTGGTATTGCACAGCTTAGGACTGTGAGGGAGAGGATACACAGGGGGACCAACCCGTGGATGAGGTGGGCTGCCCCCCTTCAAGGCCCCAGCTGGAGTGGCTGCATCCAGGTACCCCGACATAGCCGGCGGCGTCCGCCTCGCACCCAGAGCTGTGATCTAGATCTACATGAGGTCGGGACGCTATGTTGTTTGGGCGGAAGCTCTACTGTACTGGCCTTTCGTTAATGAGCTTCTTCCGTTTGTTTACTAACTCCGGGCGTTGTCACCATACAACTTGACCTAAGGTGGGGGGGTGGGGGAGGCGGGGGAGGGCCTACCCGGTTGCTCTCGCTCTTCGCCCGGTCCTGCTTGGCCTTGGCCGTCCTCTCCGCCAGCTTCTTCTGCCGCTGGGGGCCGCGCCCGAAGAAGATGTAGTTGACGAAGGCGTACTCCAGGAGGGCCAGGAACACGAACACGAAGCAGCCCATGAGGTACATGTCGATGGCTTTGACGTAGGGGATCTTGGGCAGCGTCTCCCGCAGGTGCGTGTTGATGGTGGTCATGGTCAGGACGGTGGTGATCCCTGCAAAGGACGCAGAGGGGTGAGGGCCTGCAGCCTCGCCTGCCTCGTCCTCCCTCCTCACTTTCTTCTTTTTTGGGGATCGAGCTGGGCGTGCAACCCGGGCCTGTGCCCTCACCAGGAATCGAACCTGGGACCCTTTAGTCTGCAGGCCGGTGCTCTATCCACTGAGCCACACCAGCCAGGTCTAAAAGCATTGTTGATAATTCCACTTTCAGGAGTTAAATTCAACACCCCCCACCCTCCAAAAAAAGGAAGGGATTGACTGGGATCATTGCTCTTCAGCTCTGTACTTACCTAAAATGTGCTGGAATGTTTACTTTGTGCAGTTTCACAGTTCTTCGCTGAGTGGAGAATAATCTTTCGGAAAATGGAAGCCTTCCTACTCTTCAATATACAGTAGGAATAATATTGGAACCTGCACTACTTACTGCACATCAGCTGATCACTGCCAGATAACCTGTGGCCAGCAAGATCACCAAGAGCTCCTGGGAATCGCGCAGAATCGAATCGTATATTTTAATGCTCGTTACGTTGCGTAATTCCAATTACATGCTATAATAAATATTGGACTATTTTTCTCTGGCTTAAAGAAGAAGAATGTCTAATTAACCGTGTCTTCTCTCTGGACCACCGAATAAATCTGAACGGGGGGATGTTAATCCTTGCTTTAAAACGAGTGTCAGAAATAGCTTTATTATGCAAATCTCCGGCAAGCGTATTTTCCCTTTCCTGGGCTTGAAAATTTACATCCGAGCCTGATAATTAAATTAACACATCAAAGCAATCATGCAGGAAATGGGTGTTGCAGGATAGAAATTGATGCCCAGCTGGTGTGACTCAGTGGTTGGGCGTCGACCTACGAACCAGGAGGTCTCTGTCGGGGCACAAGCCGGGGTTGTGGGCTCCATCCCCAGTGGGGGGCGTGCAGGAGGCAGCCGGTCCGTGATTCTCTCTCATTGTGGATGTTCCTCTCTCTGTCTCCCTCTCCCTCAAATCAATAAAAACATAGTTTTTAATAAAACAATAGAAGATGATGCCATGGACAAGACTGGTGTCGGGATGGCAAAACATTGCTGTTGACCCCTGGCCTTTGACCTCACTAATGCCGTAACGACACGGTTCACACACATTTCAGATATGGGTTTAGAAGAGCACCTACCCGGGTGGCTGGGGGGCCCATGGGGCAAAGGGGGCCTACGTGACACTTTCCACAATAAAGAATGATCTTTAAAACAAGCAAAGATCAATACAATACAAGCGCACCTACCCAGGGCCACCCTGGCGGCGGAGGCGTCGTAATTGATCCAGAAGGACACCCAGGAGAGGATGGTGATGAGGATGGAAGGCATGTACGTCTGCAGGATGAAGTACCCGATGTTCCTCTTCAGCCGGAAGCTCAGGGAGAGCCGCGGGTAGGCGCCTGGGGAACAGACGGGGTCAGGCGGGCGGGCGCGGGGCGCCCAGAGCTGGCTCTACATCCGTGATCGCGTGCCTTTGAGAAGCCCGGGAACCCAGGGGTGGCCCCCAGCCACACCATGTGCTCCTGTCTGCCCGACGGAGCTGGTGGAAGAATGGGGGGGCCCTTCTCAGGCCTCTCCCCTTCCTCCCTGCCCCCAAGGACATGCGTGGTGTCTGGGCTGCCCACAGGGAGCTGCTTATGTTACCAAACATGGGTCTGCCCGGCCGGCGTGGCTCGGTGGTTGAGCGCCGACCTATGAACCAGGAGGTCAGGAGTGTCAGCCTGTGGACCGAGGGTCCCGGGTTCGATTCCGGTCAAGGGCCCCGGTCAGGGCTCGTGCAGGAGGCAACCAATCGATGTGTCTTTCTCACATCGATGTTCCTCTCTCTCTCTCTCCCTCCCTCTCCCTTCCACTCTCTGGAAAAATCAATGGAAAAATATCCTCGGGTGAGGACTGAAAAGTAAACATATAAAGAAATAAACGAGGAGACCAGTGTCCGCGGGGAGAGTGGGCCAGGACGCACCTGTGGCGAAGACCACGTTCCTGGAGACCAGCCGGTGCTCCACGATGGAGAACTGCGGCAGCTCGATCCTCTCCACGCCGGTCACCGCGTCATCGCCTCCGCGCCAGTAGAACTCAATGTCGTCCGTGGTGTAGCCGTCTGCAGGGACAGAGGAGCAGGGACAGGCGGGAATGAAGCATCGTCGTATCTACGCACCACATTCCAGAAGCTGTCACCGGCCCGGCCGGCGTGCTCAGTGGCTGAGCATCAAACTATGAACCAGGAGGTCCTGGGTCAATTCCCGGTCAGGGCACAGGCCTGGGTTGCTGGCTCCATCCCCAGTGGGGGGCGTGCAGGAGGCAGCCGATCCGTGATTCTCTCTCCTCATGGATGTTTCTATCTCTCTCTCCCTCTCCCTTCCTCTCTGAAATCAATAAAAATATATTGTGCCCTGACCGGGAATTGAACCGTGACCTCCTGGTTCACAGGTCGAGGCTCAACCACTGAGCCACACCGGCCGGGCCCATTGCAAGATTTTGATAAAATCACCAGCAATCAGAAGCCCGTAGCGTGAGTCTAGTTGTCAGAATGATTCGGTGGCTGACAGGAAGCAGTGAGTTTCAAAAGGAGAACCAGAGAGGCAGGTACTACACAGGTGTGTGCTCATCCTGAGCCTCCCACCTCTTCTGTGTTACGTTCCTCCTACAAATAATAGGAAGACTCGGGCCACGGCGTTAACATGAGATGTTGACATGTACAATTAGACAATCTTAGTGAATAACGAAAAGAATTGGAACAAGTCGCTTGTTACACCAGCTTTTCACTGAGATGAGTGTGCTTTTGGGTGAGTAGAAGTTTTATGTATATTTTTTTCCACGTGGCCCCCTCCCCTTGGGACCTTGGGTAGCCTGTTTCCGGGGCGAGAATGAAAAGGAGACGGGACTCCGTGCAAGAGGCCCAGAGGGGCCTGTGCCGTCCCTGGAGGCTGGGGGAGGGGAGGGTGGTGAGGTGGGGGTGCCGATTAGGGAGCAGAACGCCCTCAGGCAAGTGGGGCGCACACACCATCACCCCACACTCCCGTGAGGAGCCGCTGTGGCCCGTGGTTCAGGCGAGGCTGCTGCAGCCCAGAGAGGGCGAGCGACTTCCTCCAGGGCACACAGCAGTCAAGGGCGGAGCTGAAAATGGTCCCTTTCCCTGCGACCTCTGGGTAAGCGGCCCCTCACCCTGCGGCCATTTGCTCTGAGGGGCTTCACTCTTCCACCTCCCCCTGCCCTGCCCCCAGCGGGCTGGGGCTCTGTCCTGCCCCCAGCAACCTCTCTTTGTCCTGGGTCCGTCCCAGCTGGCAACCTGGGCGGCATCCCGCTTGCCTTGGCGGCGAGGGCTTGTGTGGCGAACGCGCGCCCGCCTCCCCACCTCCCCTGCCGCCCTTTGTGGCTGGTTACAAAGGACCATTATTTTTCCTGGGTCTGGCTTTTGCCGGCCGCCTCCCCTGGCAGATTTTGTTTTACCTCGAAAAGAAAATTGATTCGGGGTCTGCAAACCGGCCTTCGCTCTGCCCGTGCGGCCGGGTCCACGTCCCTGATGCCACCCCACCTCCGTGGCAGCATCTCTCACCCCCCCCCCCACCCCCCCGCAGCCCCCGTGCAGCGCCCCCGGCAGCTCCAGGGACCTGCTGAGCCCGGGCCCCAGCCTGTGCCTCGAAGGTTGATGTGTTTATGTCTTTCGATCGATTCCTCTTCTCTACAGTCTGCACCTAGTTTCTGAAATATCAAGAACCATCCTGGCCATTTCTCAGCAGCTTTGCCTAATGACGCGATGCATTTTTATGTCTGCGTTCCGCAAAGGTGCCACAATGACCAATACAGCCTTTAGTGTGCAGCCCTAACTAGCTTCCAACCTCGTCATTAAAACGGTCAAATGAAAACAAGCCCTCCAGCAGGGGTTTCAGGAAGTTCTGTTCCAGTTTGGTGTCTACTCCGGCCTTTAGCTGCCGAAGTCAATGGCCAGAGTGAAGCGTGAGTCACTCCTGCGGGTGGCGAGCTTGGAGAACCTCAGCTCTCCCATCCCACCCTATTTTTGTTCTTTTATTTTTTTTTAAATGTATTTTTCTTGATTTCAGAGAGGAAAGGAGAGGGCGAGAGAGAGAAACATTCATGATGAGAGAGAATCATGGATCGGCTGCCTCCTGCACGTCCCACACTGGGGATCGAGTCCGCAACCCGGGCCTGTGCCCTGACTGGAATGGAACCCGGGACCCTTCAGTCCTCAGGCAGACATTCCCTTCTCCCCACAAATGCATTGAGGGACACTGCAAAGTCAGTCCTTTGCCACCCACAAAAAAATTCAACAGAAACACCCACAAGCCGCCCAGCCGGCGTGGCTCCGTGGTTGAGCACCGACCTATGAACCAGGAGGTCACGGTTCCATTCCCGGTCAGGGCACATGCCCGGGTTGTGGGCTCCATCCCCAGTGTGGGGCGTGCAGGAGGCAGCTGATCCGTGATTCTCTCTCATCATGGATGCTTCTATCTCTCTCTCCCTCTCCCTTCCTCTCTGAAATAAAAAAATATATATTTTAAAAGAATATAAATAAATAAACACGGACAGGTCTAAATCCAGCGGAGATGAATGATAAACCCGCCGGGGAGAGGCCAGGATTAGGAGCCACAGCCCCCACATCCAGGGACGCCCGGAGCTGCGGCTCCGGCGGCAGGTGGGACGTGTGTGTGTTCGATGCCACAGACGCAGCCGGGCCCCTCACACGGGGGCACTCAGCACTGAGGTATCAGTAAGGCCGCCGAACACGCTTCAGATGGAAGCAAACTGTCACGACGCAGAGACAGCTTCTGCGTGCAAAGCCGCGTCCCCGATGGAAAATGAGTTTTTACTCCAGCTGCCCAGGGTCCCGGGAGTGCAGCCACGCGGGCGTGGGGAGGCGCGAGGAGGTGCGAGGAGGACGGCACGGCACAGTCACCTCCGTGTTCACTCTCTTCGCCCCGAGCGGCTCGGGATGGGGGGTATTTGTTTGGTTATATATTCAGCAAAGCAGACAGACTCTCTCAGTCAGGTTCAAACGGAGATCTCATCCTGAGTCTCCCCCTGACCCTCTCTCTCTCCTTCCCTCTCAACCGTGAAATCTGCAGAGTGAGGCCGTTAAAAACAATGTCAAGACAATGGTGTGCGGTGCCTCGGCCAAACCGCCAGACCGTGACCCGATGCCCAGCGCGCAGATACCCACAGCTTTCGATCTCCAGGGTGCAGTTCTGCTCGTCCAGGGGGTACCGCCTCAGGTCCATCATGCACGCCGCCGTCGTGGTGATTCTGAAACGCACACAGTGGGGGGCAGAGAGCAGAGATGGGGTGAGAAGTGTGGCAAGAAAACGGCTCCCACATCAGCCACGAGTGGGTCCCCCTCCTCCCGACACCCCTGGTCCGACACGAGGATGTCTACGGAAGACGTGCTCAGGATACTGGAGACCAGCTGCGTCAAGGAAAGCCACACAGCCCTGGCCGGGTGCTCAGTGGTTAGAGCGTCAGCCTGCAGACCGAAGGGTCCCGGGTTTGAGTCCTGTTCCTCGGTTGCAGGCTCGATCCCGGGCCCTGGTCGGGGTGCACGTGGGAGGCAGCCCATCGATGTGTCTCTCTCACATCGATGTTTCTCTCTCTCTCTCTCTCTCTCTCTCTCTCTCTCTCTCTCTCTCTGTCTGTCTTTCTCCCACCCCCTTCCTTTCACTCTCTCTAAAAGTAAATGGAAAAATATCACCGGGTGAGGATTAAAAAAAAAAGGAAAAGCCACACAGAAACTTCGGGAGTAGTGGTGGGAGTAAAACACGGCATAATCCTCCTGGAAGGTAATTTATCACGTACGTCTTTGCTCATGGGAAGGTAATCGGGGGACCCTGAAAAGCAAGGGTTTGGGGGTTCAGCACGCCTGGGCTCATTCTGTGAGCCTTGCCCCTGGCCGGGGAGCTCGGTTGGTTAGAGCGTCAACCTGATACGCCAAGGCTGCAGGTTCAATCCCAGGTCAGGACAGGCACAAGTATCAACCAATGAATGTATCAGTGAGTGAACAGCAAATCAATGCCCTCCCCCTAATCAATAAATAAAAAATATTAAAAATACATATAGTTTTGGAATAAGATGGTGGCCATGCGGATTGAAAGGTCCCAGGTTCGATTCCGGTCAAGGGCATGTACCTGGGTTGCAGGCACATCCCCAGGATGTGCAGGAGGCAGCTGATCGATGTTTCTCTCTCATCGATGTTTCTAACTCTCTGTCTCTCTCCCTTCCTCTCTGTAAAAAATCAATAAAATATATTTTTAATAAAAAAAAAAGATGGTGGCCAAACCAATTAGAAGCCTTTGTTTGAACCTTCTGAAAGAAGTTCTAGCTTCATTTTTTAAAAAAAATTTTTTATTGATTTCAGAGAGGGAGGGAGAAACATGATGAGAGAGAATCATTGATCAGCTGTCTCCTGCAACCTGGGCAGGGGCCCCAACTGACCTCCTGGTTCCTAGGTCGACGCTCAACCACCGAGCCACGCCGGCCGGGCGAGAAAATAGTTGATGCTTGGAAACAACCTCTTCTCACTACGAGAATACGGTCGCCCGCGAGTCCCTGGGTGAGGAGCGCTCACCGGCGTTTCTGCACAGTCATCAGGGTCATGGGTTCATGGTTTCCCAGAAAAAGACTAGGATGACGTGCGAACAACGTCATGGAAAGCTCACCCCTCACCAGAGAGCTCCATCTACCCGGGACAAAGCAAACACCCTCCTGATCCCGGGCTGGGCGGGGACAGGGCAGGGAGCCCAGGGGAGCTAGACGGGGGCTGATCTACCAGCCTGGGCTGCCACCGGGCCAAGGTCTCAGGGAAGCAGCTCGGCCGGCTAGGGTCTCGGGCACCTCCCAGGAGGAAGGCAGTCCCTGTTGGGTTAGACCTCCATCGACAGGAGACTAACAACAGTTCCGGCCCGGCCGGTGCGGCTCAGTGGTTGAGCATCGACCTATGAACCAGGAGGTCACAGCTCGATTCCCGGTCAGGGCACATGCCTGGGTTGTGGGCTCGATCCCCAGTGTGGGGCGTGCAGGAGGCAGCCAATCAATGATTCTCTCTCGTCATTGATGTTTCTCTCTCTCTCTCCCTCTCCCTTCCTTCCTCTCTGAAATCAATAAAAATATCATATTAAAATAACAAAACCATGATACATAGATTGTGTGTGTGTGTGTGTGTGTGTACACATGATGTAGAATATATGTACATGGTTCTTTGGTTCACAGGGATCATGCATACAGTATAGATGAGTTTAATGAAACGATCGGTATTCTGACATACGGATGTGCTTTTTTTTGGTCCAAAAATTCAAATGACTCTCCGGTCAAATGCGTCTCGATGGCTCTGGTGGTTTTGAAAGTCTAAGGGCAGGGGTGTCCCGAGGACCAGCCTTCAAGGGGAGCAGCTGGCCGAGGAGCTGCGGAGCATGTGTGGCCGGGGGTGGCCGGGTGTTTCCTTCCTGACAGCCGGGCGAGGCTCACAGAGACCTGCAGGCTCGCTTCAAACACAGGAGGCTCTGCCCTGGCCGGCTGCTCAGGGGTTAGAGTGCTGGCCCGGGGCACCCAAGGGTCTCGGGTTCCAATCCCCGTCAAGGGCAGCCCATGGATGCCTCTGTCCCTCTCTCCCTCTCATTTCCTCTCCTTGTAAAGTCAATAAAAACGTTATTTTTTAAAAAAATAATTAAATACAACATAAACCCAGTGCAAAGTCAATGCAAGACACACAATATTTTTTAAGGGCGCCGTTTAGCAAGGGGGCGACAGTCACAGCATGGAACCCCCTAGCAGCGGTGGAGCATCCTGGGAAATTCTGGCGGTTTCCAAGGTAACCAGGGAAGCCCCGGACCTCCTCGGGTCCCAGACGAGCAGCCTAGCTTTCTGGTTCGAGTGAGTGCGTTAGGAGGCTCGGGGAGCCTCGCATGTAGTCAGGCCCATGAATCCTGGGGGCCCCGCCTCGCCTCGGACAGCACCCCACGGAGCCCGGAGCCGGGTCAGCAGCAGTCAAGGGTTTTTTCCGACTCTGCAGAAGGCGCTGGGCGAGCGTTCTGGAAAGCTTTGCCGTGTCAGGGTAGTAATATTCATCACGGGCCTTTGTGGTTAGAATATGGGAACCCCAGCCTGGGGGGCCTGGGTGCTCAGGGTCGGCAACTCAATCAGATCAAAGCAGTGCACGCAGGCGGTCCCCTTGCTCGTGACTATATTTTAAATATATTTTAAATACATTAAATATATTTTTATTGATTTCAGAGAGGAAGGGAGAGGGAAAGAGAGAGAGAAACATCCATGATGAGAGAGAATCACGGATCGGCTGCCTCCTGCACGCCCCACCCTGGGGATCGAGCCCAAAACCCAGGCATGTGTCCTGACCAGGAATCGAACCCTGACCTCCTGGTTCCTAGGTTGACACTCAACCACTGAGCCACACCGGCCGGGCTTGCCTGTGACAAGTCCTAGTCACAGCGCTGCCCCAGGTCCTAGAGGATTCCTTTCTCTGCAAAGCTCAGAGGTTTCATGTGATGTCTCCTAATTCATTTGAGGATGTGGCCTCGGCGGCCATTACCACCTCAAGGGAGACAGTCAGGGCCCCGGGGGGCGGGCGGGCGGGCAGACAGACAGACAGACGGACAGACCTGAGCCCGTACAGCACCGTCCCGTCGGGGTGCAGGCGGATCATGCGGTTCTTCACCGTCACTCCGTGCACGAAGGACTTCTTGTCGTTCAGGAAGTAGGTGTCCGGCACCCACAGCTGGTCGGCCACGCGGTTGTCCAGCGTGAGATTGAGCGGGATGCCGGAGTAGGCGAGCCGCTTGTCCCTCCAGTACTGCTGGAAGTACATGGTCAGGGTGTAATCCTGCGGGGAGGAGAGACAGACGTCAGTCTCCGCTCGGCCGCTGGCCGGGGCCCGGGAGGCACAGACACTGCTTCCTTCCACGCGGGGTGGGAAGCAGGGGTGCTTTCTGGGAAGGCCAACGCCGGGCCGGTCCCACCCGCCCCACCCGTCTTATAAAAGCCCGATGACAAACTCAGCGTAAATAAACACGGAGGCGAGAATCGTGTTCCGATCACCGTCTCTCCTATAAAGAATCTTATAAACAAAAAAACCGTTCAACGGGAGGACCAGGTATCGCTCTGGGCTTCTTTTTTCAGGATCATAAAGCCCTTTGATGATCTAATGAAAGCACGGCCCCTGTAAGTGTGTGCTCGTGGATGTGCATGTGAGCATGCCCATGTGAGTGTGCACGGCTGTGTATGCGTGCGTGCATGCATTCAGGTGTGTCTGTGTCTGTGTGCGTGCGTGCACACGCGCATGTGTGTCTGTGTGTGCGTGCGTGTGTGCCTCGAGTTAACCAGCATGACACACTGACGCCCACCGAGACGCACGTCTCCCCACGCCTGGTGGGCTTCCACGCGCTTGTGAAGTCACGTGCCTAGAATCTGCACACTGTTTTCTATTGGAAGAACTATGACGCAAGGTGGTTCGATTTTGACCCCGGATTCCAAAATCCCACTTCATGCAAAAGTCAGAGGCCGGGGTCTCCGGGGGTAAGAACGCCAGGCCAGCCCAGGGCCCCCTGGTTTAGAGCCCGAGGGCTCAGGTAGCGGTGGGGGGCAGTGGGCGGGCAGGAGGAGCCCCGACGGCTGGGGCTGGGAGCAGGCATTCTTGAACATGAGTCGTTCGCGAGCATAGGTGAGTCCTTGCAACATCTCCGGAGCATACACAGGCGGCGGCAGCGGTAACGACACACACCAAATGAGCCCAAGAAAACCTCCTCCCAGCTGTAGGTGTATAATTCGAGAGGCTCCCGTAAATTGCAGGGAGAGATCAACAACAACACTGCTTCCCCGCGCGCGCAAACCTCCCGGCATTTATCGCATTACGGCGGCCAGAACACATCTCTGGGAGGGAGAATATCGCTCATTATTCCGCAATTAAGTGATTGACTACATCTCCTCGGCGCAGGAAATGGAAGGAGAGGATGACTAACCCCGAGAAGGCAAGGCAATCTCCACGCCGCCTGGCAAGATTGGAACCGCAGCTGGGAGTCACAGGGCACCTGGCCCGGCACCTGCTCCCGCGAGGCGGGGACAGCAAGCCTCCCAGGTAAATTGCTCTCGGGTCAGCGAAGATGGGAAATTGCTCGGCGCCGCCGCTTACATAAGCCCTAAGTGCTGGAGGCCTCCCGGCAGGCGCTTCCGCAGTGAAGTTTAGGCTGGGGCGTCTGGGCACCTCTACCAACACCGTGTGTGTGGAGGACTCGGGTCCGTTCCCGTGGCCTGGCTCTTCCCACCGCAGACTCCGAGGTGACTGTCGAACCCGTGTGGCAAAGGGGGAGGACTGGCCATCTCCCTGCCATCCCCTCTTCCTCCCTCCCTCTTGCATCGGGTATCCACCGACCGTAGGTCAACACCCGGCCGGGTGCTGGGGACCCAGAGATAAGAAACACAGCCCTGGCCGGCGAGGCTCGGCTGGTGGGAGCATCCTCCCCTGCACCGAAAGGTCGCTGGCTGGATTCCCTGTCGGGCACATGCCCAGGTTGTGGGTTCGGTCCCTGGTCGGGGTACATATAGGGGGCAATCGACCGATGTTCTCTCTCTGTCTCTCAAATCAATGAAAACATATTAAACAACAAAGAAACACATCAGCCCTGACTGGTTGGGCTCAGTGGATGGAGCGTCGGCCTACGGACTGAAAGGTCCCGGGTTCGATTCCGGTCAAGGGCATGTACCTGGGTTGCGGGCACATCCCCAGTGGGGAGTGTGCAGGAGGCAGCTGATCGATGCTTCTCTCTCATCGATGTTTCTGACTCTCTATCTCTCTCCCTTCCTCTCTGTAAGAAATCAATAAAATATATTTAAAAAAAAAAGAAACACATCATTTGTACCTTTAAGTAGTTCGCATTCTGGGTCCCCAAAAAGCAAACACCCCTCCCTCCAAGTTACAGTGATCAAGAGAAGGCATTTTGGCTTTTTCTTTTTTAAAAAAATATTTTTTTATTGATTTCAGAGAGAAAGGGAGAGAAAGAGAGAGAAGCATCAGTGATGAGAGAGAATCATTGATCAGCTGCCTCCTGCACGCCCCCCCCCCCCACTGGGGATGGAGCCCGCGACCCGGGCGTGTGCCCTTGACCGGAATCTGACCCAGGACCCTTCAGTCTGCAGGCCGACGCGCTATCCACTGAGCCACACCAGCTAGGACCATTTTGGCTTCTTCCAACCAGTCCCCCAGTCCTCTACCCTCTGGCAGCCAGCAGTCTGTTCTCTGTGTGAGTCCGTTTCAACTTCGTTTGTTCATTGATTCTATTCCTTAAATCCCACATAGAGGTGAATAGACTCGAATGATTAGATTTGCTGAACTGAGTAGCACTTAAACTCATTTCTGTCTGAATCCCTTCAAGAGGGCAGACGAGGCAAAAAAAAAAAAAAAAGAAAAAAGTTCCACAGAAAACGGGGGTGAATATTTCCATTTTCCACCGAGAGCCCCTGCTACCGACTTATCCTCCCAGACGTCAAAAGGCCTTTGATTTTGTGTAGGTGCCTCTGGGCTAGGATCTCACAATGGCTTCTCCTCCCCTCACAGGCGGGTCACGTGGGTCAGCGCCGCCGCAGCCACGCGTTTTAAAGCATTTTCCCGTTTCCAAGAAGATGTGCTATTTTTAGGCAGCGAGCCCATTCATTTCTGAGATCAGGTCTATTTCTGGCTCCCACCCAGAAATGGTGAGGTTCTTGCTCTTCCACAAATCACAACGGGAACAATGCTACACATCCTGTAAGTGAAAAATGTTGGCTTGCTCGTGGGGTTGTGTGTGGGGTTTTTTTTTTTTTTCCCTTTTCCTGAACTGTTATTCCTTTCAGCGGGAATATGGGGATGGGTATCTGTGATGGGATCACAGAAGGCTGCCCTGTCGCCGGGGACACGGCCATCACAGCCCAGGTTCCCAGAAGGGAACCACGAGGCGGTTTCCACGCCCTCCATCGAGCCTCGGGCCTGAGGAGAGAGAGGTCCGGCGCTGGCCTCAGAGAGGAGGTAGATTATAGTTTCCTCCTGCTTTGGAGGAGCCTTTTCACGGTGCACGGGGCCCCACAGATTGGGTAGCTGAGCAGGAGGACGGTCCTTCGTCTGGAACCCGGGAGACCCGTGTCCCCTCCCGCGGCATCCACACGAAGACGGCGGCCGACATCCCGGACCGTCGCTGTTCTTCACACCCGCTTCCCCTGGCGTTTCCTCCGACCCCTCTTCCCGGCTGCTCCCTCAGCTCTTCCTTTTCCTCTTAAGACTAGGGAACCCTAGGGGTGCCCATTCAATTTCCTTTTTAAAAAAATATATATATATATTTTTTATTGACTTCAAAGAATCATGGGTCACAGGTTGAGACTCAACCGCTGAGCACCCAGCCGGGCCGACCCATTCATTTTTGAATGCGTTTCCAGGAGTCGGGGTGGAGCTGTGGCCCAGCCAGACCACCGAGCACAGCCCTCGCGGGGCGTCCACGCGGGGCCTCACGGAGCAGGCGGTCTCTGCTCAGCGAGGCGCTGGTTAGACATCGCCCACCCGTCCACTGTGCACGGCCGTGAGCGTGCGGAGCGGCAGGTGCTGAGACGCGGGGCTGCCCCCGGCGAGGCGCCTCCCTGGGAGAGACGCTGACGACTTCCAGGGGGAGAACAGCGCTGCACAGGGCCCTTCCTCGGAACCAGGCCGCGAGGACCCGGCCGCGGAGCCCGGGGGGCGCAGCTCATGGGGGCCTTTCTCCCGTCACCCCAGGGCGCGAAGGCTTCCACAGGCGCAGGGGTGCCAGAGCCAACGCCGTGGAGGCACTCGCTGCTGCTCATCAGAATCGGAGTGTGTCGTTGGCCACGGGCAGCGGGATGGACAGCTGGTGACTCCCTTGCTTGACGTGCACCTTTGGCCCGGAAGCGGCTGGCACCTGAGGTGTGCGGGGAGTGATGTCGCCAGCCACGCTCGGCCGGTGAGTCCAACCCCGTCCCCTGAGAGGCCCTCCGCTCCAGGGCAGTCGGCGGGGACTGTGAATCGAATGAAATAACCAAGGAGAAGGTGTGGAGTGAGAACCTCGTGATCCCTGAGAAGGGGGCAGAGGAAGGTCATTCAACTGAGAAGTGTCAGGCCCTCCCCGCGTGCCTCAGTGGTCGGGCGTCGCCCTAGGAACCAGGAGGTCACGGCTCGATTCCCGGTCGGGGCACAGGCCCGGGTTTCGGGCTCCGTCCCCAGTGGGGGGCGTGCAGGAGGCAGCCGGTCCATGATTCTCCCTCATCGTTGATGTTTCTATCTCCCTCAATAAATCAATAAAAAATATATTTTTTAAAATAGGAAGATAGAGATGATAGATAGATGATAGATGGCTGGATGGGCAGGATGAATAGGTGAGTGAGGTGGGGGGGGGGGAGGGAGAGAGACTAAAACGGGGAACTCCTGGAGCACCGCTCTCTCTCCGGGCGGCACTGTGGGTTTTTGATGTTTCATAATTCCCAAATTTTCTACAAAGGGGATCTTTTATTCGCAGATACAACTGTCTGACTCTCTGTTTAGAGATAATTGGGCACAAAAGCAACACAAAGTGCTGAGCCGCTTGGAGGCTCCGCCGAGACCGAAGCTGTACGTGCCTCCGTGGCGGAGCCAGTCAGCAGGTTTCCGGGGCTTGCTTGCTTGCCTTTTCCCCCCAGCTAACAGCGATGAACTTGGAATATTAACGATGGATTCCTCATCTCTGCCACTGCCCCAGGCTGGCACCCTTGTCACGCCAGCTCTCCGGCAAGGACACGGAGGCCAGGGCTCATGAACTTGCTTAGACCGAGCGGCTCAAAGGTGGAGCCTGGCCGTCCCGGCCCCACGCCCTTACGGCCTGGACAGGAAGCCGGGCGCAGGGGCCGCACCCGGGAGCGGGGAGCACAGGCCTGAGGACCAGCGGGTCCCGGGGGAGGATGGGGCACGCAGGCAGGGAGACTGGACCCCCCCCACCCCGTTCAGGACGAGTTTGAGGCCTGGCCGGGAAGCTCAGTCGGTTAGAGTGTGGTCCCCACACACCAAGCCTGTGGGTTCGACCCCCAGTCGGGGCACAGAGAGAATCGGCCAACGATGCATCAGCAAGTGGAACAAACTGGTGTTCCTCTCGCCCCCTCGCCCCCTCTCCTCCTGCCCCCTCCCCTCCTGCCCCTCTGTCTCTAAAATCAACTTTTAAAATGACTGGCTCGGAGCAGGTCATGTGTGCCTGGCACAGTGGATTGTTCCTGTGGCTCAGAATGAAGTCTATGAAATGGCCTGTATTTCACGTAGAAGGAGTAGGTTCATGCGCAGTTTTCTTCAACTACCACCCCGATGACAGGATTCCCTAAAAAACCACCCCTCTGTTCACAGGCCTAGGTCACGTCCTGTTCCTTCTAAGACACACTCGGGGGTTGGGTGAGCGGAGTCTCCCTCCCATCGGTCACGTTTCTGTACGAGGCTGCTGTCCCTGTCCTCACACCGGAGGGGTGTCCCCATCCCACGGTGCCAGGCTGTCGCTCCTCCCGCCGGGGCCTGGGGTCACTCCTCCGTCCATCGTCCATCTGAGCAGAGTTAGCCTGGGCCCTCGGGGCGTGGCCTCTGGCCCTGACTCCGGGAAGCGAGGGAAGAGATGCCTGGGAGGAGCCCGGCTTATCAGGGATGCTTTCCCGCCGCAGGCCTCCCCGGCAATCCACCTGACGTCTTCATTTCTACTCGGTTGGCTTGATCCCTGTCTCAGTGGGTTCTGAGAGGGAAAGAGGGGGTGTGTTTTATTGACCTCTTAATCCCACAGTAATATCTGAACCACCGATTCAGCCAAACACGTCTTACATCATTGCCCAGCGCGCGCGCGTGTGTGTGTGTGCGCGTGTGTCTTTTATCCTCCTGGTTCTGCTCTCTTCCCCGTGTCTTCTCTTCGTTCTCTTCCCCGTGTCTTCTCTTCCTTAAAATATTTCCCCCCTTATGGCCCAAAGTGATATTTAACAAGTCAATTTGGGGAAGAAAGCCGGTTTGGCAAATGCAAATGGACTCAATACATAACCCTAAAGAGCGCTCGGGGACTCGCTCAGAAACGACAGCGCTGGGCCTGGAGCACAAGCCGCGTCCTCCCTGGAACTGGGAGCCCGAGACACCTACATCGATTTGGTTTTGGTTCGTTTCTTGTTGTGTTTTTAAGATTTTTAGTTGACTTTTAGAGAGAGAGGAAAGGAGAGGGAGAGGGAGAGAGAGAGAAACATCCATCAGCTGCCTCCTGCACGCTCCCTACTGGGGATCGAGCCTGCAACCCCAACATGTGCCCTGACCGGAAATCGAACCCAAGACCCTTCTGTCTGGCGGCTGATGCTCTAACCACTGAGCCCACAGGCCAGGACTGAACACAAAGTGTTGAGAGGACAACTGAGAACAGAGAGACAGAACAGTCACCTGCCTCAGGGGAGATAAAACACATCCCCAGAAAAGCAACCTGCGAAAAACGACAAAGCCACCTAGCAGGCGGGTCTCAGACACAGAGCGCCGGTTAAATATAGCGCCGCGCCAAGGGCGTGCAGGCGAGAGGGCAGGGCAGTGGCGGGATCGCAGTGCAGTTTGCGGAAGACCAGCTCTGGGCAAGGCTGGAGGGGGAGGTCCTGGGAGGGGGGCGGGCTGGGGGAGAGGGTCACTCTGCAGGTCCATTAAGTTATTTTTAAATATATATATATTTTTTATTTCAGAGAGGAAGGGAGAGGGAGAGAGAGAGACACATCAATGATGAGAAACAGCAGATGCCTCCTGCACGCCTCCTACTGGGATTTGAGGCCGCAACCCAGGTATGTGCCCTGACTGGGAATCAAACCAGTGACCTCTGGGTGCACAGGGCAGTGCTCAACCCCCTGAGCCACACCGGCCACGCCAGAGATCATGTTCTCAGCCCGGCCGGTGTGGCTCAGTGGCTGACCGTCCACCTACGAACCAGGAGATCACAGTTCAATTCCCCGTTGGGGCACATGCCCAGGTTGCGGTTCGATGCCCAGTGGGGGTGTGCAGCAGGCAGCCGGTCCGTAATTCTCTCTCATCATGGATGGTTCTCTCTCTCTCTCTCCCTCTCCCTTCCTCTCTGAAAGCAATAAAAATATGTTAAAACAAACAAACAAACAAACAATAGCGACGCAGAGATCTCGAGGACCTGGCTGGCCAGCCTCCATCCTGTTGGCTAGCTTTGCATGACCCCCAACTGTCTTAGCTCTGAGCCCAGTGGCCCCAATTCTTCTAACTCCTAGCTTCTGTGGAGGCTCCTGTGTAGGTGGGAGAGGAGCTTAGATGAGGTCCCATGTGGAAGAGGCACTGCTGGGGGCCAGCACAGACTGGGACTCATTTAAAAAAAAAAAAGATTCTCTCCCTGGGATGATTGATGGCTGGGAGCCCAGGCCTGGGGTGGGCCACCTGAGACTCTCAGAAGCGCTCCTTGAACCCCAGCTCCCAGCTCAGGTGTTCCCACCTCGACCCAGTCCTCCCAGGGCACCTCGGCCCCAGGTGAAATCTGCCAGTCGGGCTCTTGTTTTCTGCTGGTCTCAGCTGACTCGTGAGGAGCCCTGAGTAATCAGGCTGACGAGGCCCAGGCAGGGGCCCTGTGGGCGTTGGGAGGTGGGCTCTCTCGCCCATGGCTGGAGGGTAGCTTCCCGGGTCCCACCCGCCGGGCCCCCACGGCCCCCC